ATTTCAAACCATGTAAGGTTTGTGAACCATTAAATGAAAATATTGAATTCTTGAAAGGGCTGTGAAATCAAAAGGGTCATACTCAGAAAGGAGAGGAAAACTTGTGATATTAATCTACATATCATCTTGCTTCATGTAACTATAGAATTTTATTTTAATGTAAAAAAAGCAAGGAAAAAATGGTGGGTTTATATTTCATTTGCAACTGTTAATAATGTTGAAGAATATGGAGAATAAGTTCAATAATTTTCTCTGAATCATTCTCATGTTATTACCATGAGGTTGTTTTAATTATATTCTTCATCTGGCCAACACTTGTTTACACTAAATTTTTGTTAGATAAAGGAAGAACGAAATAAGGAGGCTACTTTTCTTATTTCAGCCTTCAAGGTATGTGCAGGAGTTATCGTTTCAGTGTTTTTGTTCTCTCTTTGCTTTCTTTTTTTTTTTCAAATTTATTTAGCAGTTTATTCTTTGCACTACTATTGATGGATTTTGGGTAAGTCATTGGAGGCTGTTTATGGATTTCAAGGTGAAGAAGTGGATAAAGAATCTAAACTGACACCTTATGGTGAAAAAATTAGTCGAGGTATGTGGTGATGGAAATATCACAATTAGCCTGGCATTATTGTCTTTGAGCTACTGGAAGATGATCAATGTGGTTCTTTACAAACTAAAATTGAAGGATATAGCAGTCCAGATGCCCAGTCAAACCCTTTACAAGACCCTCGAATTGGCTTTAGATTCGGAACGCAAGTCATGGTTTTCTTTTGAATTGATGTAGTTCAGAATTTGAGTTAAATAGGTACTTATTTACCTTATGCATCTTATGCTATCCTTGGTTACTTGTTACTTTTTCTAAAGAAACTTAACTGATACAAATTCCCCAATTTATTCGACCAAAAAAATTTTTGCTTTTGTTTTTAATTGGACCTATAATACAAATTTCCCAATTTAATCGAATATCTAAGAATTGTTACATTGCAGCCCTGTTTCTTTTTCGAAAAGGCATATTTGTGGAAGCCTTATGGAATTGTATTAATAATTTCTGCATTAAAAGCTTTTAGTTGATCTTGACTTTACTGATTGGTCCAAGATTGCATGTAATGATCTTATGCCTTTTCTTAATGAAGATGATGTAATCCATGGGAACTTCAACTTGCTATTTCATGGATAGTTTAAATAGTTCATATCAAGTTGGTCAGTGGTTTACATTTTTTCTTGGTTTTAGGTATTCCTGTTAACTTGATTTTTTTCTTGAATTCCAAGTCATCCTGTCCGCTCATTGCCTTTCTATTAAATGATGGAAACCACATGGATGACTTGATTGTGCTTGTTTCCAAATAATGTATAGGTATTACTGTCATTCTTGATGAACAACAAGTCTTTGCCTAAATTCAACATCTTTTGGTTGAGGACTGCATGTGCTGAACCCTCTTAGGATCATTTGCTTTCATCCCTCAAATTTCTAAATCTCTTTGCATTTCCTTCACCCGTTGTTTTTTGAATAATCACTTGTTGCTATCAATCATATAGTGCTTACTGAATTTGCTTTTCAAACTTTTGGAGGAAAAGTGAGAAATTTGATGAACTGCTTGAGTTGGCTGGCTACTACAAGACTTTTCTCATGAATTCTTATCAAGAAGCAAGGTATGGTTTTCCAACCACAAACAGTGTGGATATGAACTATTTTACTATTTGCTATCATTTATCTTTCCCCGGTATAGTGATCAATAATTGTGAGATTGATTGGCCTTTTTACTTAATCAATAATTTCTTTTTCATATTTGTTTCCCATGGAAATGTTAGTTCTTTCATTTTTATTTCTCAAATTTCAATATTTTTGGCTTCAAAACTTATCACATATTTCGTTCCTATTTTTACATGGTATCATTCTTAATTTTGTCTAATATGTAAAGTTTTGGTTTCAACATACAAGAGCTTAATTTACACTTGATTTTGACACATACAAGGCCATGGCAATAAAGAACGTTATCACCATTGCATATGCATATCAAGCATAGCTACCAGCAAATTGCATATTTTATAGAGGAGAAAGTAGTTTTTATTTGCTTCCTGCTGGGCCGATTCTAACTCAATTTATACTGTAATATTATATGCCTTTTAGTTCCATCAGAGTAGTTCATTTATTACTCTGTCTAGATTATATCCTTAATGATACATAAAATTCATATGGCTTAAACATAAAATTGCATTACCTCTTGTGCAGGATAAAAACATGGCAGTAGGAGATTATTCGAATAAGCTCTGGGAAGAGAGACAAATAAACTCTTGAACGATATTCGGCATTGTAAAGAGATTGAGAAATGCAAACTTGAACCATAGTAAACACTTAGTATCCAATTATGCATACAACTTGTAATAATTTATAGAAGTTTTTTCTTAACTGTATTCTTTATTAATATACTTGGCCTTGACTCAACATATTCGGCCAATATAGTTTAATAACTTATTTTAGTCATTACTCCTAATTATGGATTATCTATTTTGTTTTAAAAAAAACTATTACAATGGGTTTTACACTGGGCATACTACCTATTAATTTCACACCGCGCATTCGCGCGGTGATCCCCTCCTAGTTAACATATCTAGTCTATTGGGGAATGCCATTGTTTCCAATTGAGTTCAATTGCTGAGGTGGCGCTCTCCCATTGGTCGATTGGTGATAATCCTTCAATTGATTCCAATTTGATGAGTTGTCATCCTCTGATTTGTCGATTGGTGGTAGTCCTCCCAATTGCATATGAAAATGGTGATGTGGCGAGTTTTGATTGGATGGGAGGTGGTAGTTTTCTAATTGCATGTAGGGTTGTGCTAAAATTTAGCCTTTTTTCCCTTTCCCAACAATAAATTGTGTTAACAAAAAATTGGTATCCCAATTATTCACAATTATCAACGCTTTTTTTTGGTTGCCAAACAAATCACAATTATTAATTATTATTTTTTATGTATTGTAATAATTGCTTATGTTATGCTCTAACTGTATTAATTACTATTATGTTATCTTTTATGTAATTGCTTTTGTTATGCTCCAATTGTGAAAAATTTACTCTTTATTTGCTTTTTTTTCCAACGACAACCTAGCTAATCTCATTGAAAAAAATTGGTGCTCTTTATTTTTGTTTTCTTGGAATGAGAGGGGAAGACATTTGACTATTATTATCAAATTTTCACGATAATCTTTATTTAGTATTAATTCTACGTAAACAATCAACAATGTGGTGCCCTTCCATTAGTGTCATTTATTATTTGGTCACGCCACACACTATGTTTAATTATAGATTCCCTACTATTATTTGTTATAATTATTTATCTATTTACTTTTTATTTGGGTTCCATTTTTCGATTACCCAATAAATCACATTTAATTACCAAATTTTTACAATTCAATCTTAATAACCAATTAATAGTGTTATTTTTTTACCTAACAAATCACATTTAATTAATAAATTTTTTGCAATTATCTATCTATATAGTAAAAGCATAAATGGGTTTGTTAAGATGAATGGTTGTTGTGCTGACGTGTTTGAATGGGATTGGTTCAAGCATGGTCGTCTGTCACGGGGATCTCACGTGCTGAAGCTGAAGAGAAGAATTGGCTTCATTTTCCTGTTTTTCTTTTCTGTTGCTTTGAAACAAGTTGTTTTCTTTTACATCGAGGGTTGATTCTTTTACCCAATGTGAGAAACCCGTTTGAAAGTCACCAGGTCCGTGTCTACTTTGTTGTCAGAGTGATTAGCTTGATTTATGACAAGTGGTCGTGTTGGGCTCAATGCTAATTTGTTGGTTTTACAATTCTGACCTTACTCTTGTACCCAAAATTACCGGTGCTGTTGTGAATCCTTTCTTGTCCCCATGGGCTTTGACTAAAAATTGCTTTTATCGTCACTATTGCAATCTGCCAAATAATAGCTTTTACCTCTTTTCTTGATGGATGAGAAGACTGATGCAATTTCTCTGCACAATTTACACACCGACCATCTATTTTTTTCCAGATTTTGGGAATATCATCATCAAGGTCAGTGATAATAGTTCCTTTCTTCCGTTTTCCTTTGTTGCTTTGCTGCTGTTTCTTGCACTCTGGTTAGCTCAGCTCCTTGCTTTCTATGTTCTAAATTCAAACTATTTCTTGTTGCTCTCTGCATAAAATTCACATTGTGCTGCTACATTTTTCTGTGCCTTTTTTTTTTATAAGGTTTATTTTGCTGATTGAACGTTATTTCTCTCCTCTCTTTGTGAAAGATAAATTGGATCTTCTCCATCTTCATCTTCTTCATTTGAACAGGTGAGTTTTTTGGTCGGTAAGTATCTCGACTTTCTTTTCTACTACAAGAAATAAGACAAAAAAAAAAACAAGGAAGCCATGTGGAAACAAGAAGCAACAAGGAAAAATGGGTCTTCGGCATCTTCATCAGAACATGTGATTTTTTGCTCAGTAAGTATTTTTATTTTTAATTTTTTGTGAAATTTATCTTCATCGTCAGTTTTTTTCTTCTTAAGTATTGATACTTTTTTTGCCTGCAAGAAAATAGACAAAAAAAAAAAGAAAGCCACATGGAAAGAAGCAGACAAGTGAAAAACTGGATCTTCAGCATCTTTATTTTGTGAAATTTAAAAAATCACATGTTCTAAGCAAAAAAATCCAATCTCTTAAAATTTTTGAGTTTTTCGTTTATTTTTGTGTATATTGTTAGTCTTGTTTCCCTTGTTTAGATCCCATCATAGAGATTAAGAAAGCAAATAAGAATGGATTTGGATATGGAGGCCTGTGTTGACAAGATCAAACAGGAATATCCGTTTATTTTTATGTATATTTGTTAGAGTTTTTCTTCCTTTATCGGATCATATGAGGGAGATTAAGAAAGCAGATAAGGATGTGTTGGATATGGAGGCTGTGCTATTCATCTACCCATAAGATTCAAACGAGACTTCATTTTCTCATCCATCAATGCCCTTACCTCCCGTTCCTCTCTCTCAAACTCTCTTTTCAACAGGTCTCTGTTGCCACAGAAGGAAGAAGTCAATTGATCTGACACTGAGGTACCCTACCATGCTCAATTCTAAATCTTAGATTTTATTTTATTTTTACCTATTTCATATCTCATCATTTGCTCAATTTTTTTGTGATTTTTTTAATTTAGGTTGGAGAAATCATCAAAAGGTAAGCTTTTTGTGCCCTAATTTCTTATTTTCTTGCTTTATGTATTACCTTTTTCCCCTCTCAATTTCTTTGCTTGAAGCCTCTTAGATCATTATTGGGTTTCTACACAATTCTAATAATATAATGAAGTTTGAAAGGCATTTCTGCATTTAAAACAGTAGTATTTTTTCAGCCAAAAATAACAAAAGATGCAGATATTTAACTGCTGACCTCCTGTTTGCTTAACAAAAGACAAGAATTGGTGGCTTCATGTTATCTTAGTGTTTTTGTCGCATTTTTAGAAAAGTTTTTTTTAATGATTCTACTATATCTGCTAGCTTGGTTAGGGTTGATGTGTAATTATCATATCAGATTGTTTGGAAAGTTTGTTATGTTGTTATAGGGAGTACAAGAACTTTACAAAAATGCTAATTTATTCTTTGTAATTTTTCCTCTTCTGATTTCTTGTGTATTAGTGGAAATCTTATGTGATTCTATGTGTCCTTTCTTGTGGTGCATTGCATTGTTGTCCACTTGCTTAGGGTGGTTCAAAATTCTTTCATGTGTTCGCCTATGGTGCAACAAAAGTAACTTTAAAAGTTTCTAAGTTTTTAAGGGGCTGCTTGTTTCACAAATTGGAATCGGAAATGAAAATGGAATCATGGACTCTGGTTTTGGAATTAAACTTTTCATTCCAATATCTAGCTTGGTTCACACATTGGAATTAGCATCATTCCAATTCTTGATGCTTGGTTTGATGAGTGTTTCGGAATCAAATGCAATTAAATTTCAAATTTACCCCTAATATAACAATTCTTATAAAATAAAAGAATTACACATACGACAAATTAACATCTCCATAATTGTAACTACAATAGTTATTAACTTTTTGATAAAACATAAGAAAATCATGAATTTTAAAAAAATTAATACCAGAAAATAAATGTAGTGGCTGCATTAACAAGGAGTAAATTCCCAAAAAGAGAGAGTTTTTAAACTAATTTCCCAAAGGGTAGCGATTTTTGAGTCTCTTCCCAAAGGGTGAAAAATGGATCCAAGGAATGCGTTCTTCCAAATCAAAACGCAACTTTCAAATACGTTATTTTAATTTTCATAAATTGTTTAAATATGAAAAATTGGTTAAATAGCACATAACATACCAACTCTTTATGGGAAACAGGCAGGTTTTGTAGTATGTTTTGTACCAACTCTTTATGGGAAACATACCAACTCTTTATAGGAAAAATTGGTTAAATAGCGGCCAAAGGAAAACTAGTATATTTTATATTTATAAATTAAATATGTGAAAGTAAAAAAAAAAAAGAAATAAGGCATAAGATACCAGCTCTTTATGGGAAACTGGCAGGTTTTGTAGTATGTTTTGTGTCAACTCTTTATGGGAAACACACCAGCTCTTTATAGGAAAAACTGATTAAATAGCGGCCAAAGGAATACTAGTGTGTTTTGTATTTAACATAAATTAAATATGTGAAAGTTAAAAAAAAAAGAAATAACTCATAAGATACCAGCTCTTTATGGGAAACTCACAGGTTTTGTATTTAATGCCTATAACTATGAAACTGAAAGGTATTCAGGCAAACAATTTTACAAATAGGTACAAGGCAACCAGAAGCCCACCCAAACTATACCAGTATTCACGGATCAAATAACCAAAATATCAAGAATCGATTGACCTTTTGTTTCTGAGCTTCCATTGAATGCGTAATTCAAGAAAACACAGTGAGTAGCGTGAGTGGAATGAAAGTGAGAAGGTGATGGGTCCAGAGCATAGCATTTTGGTCCAGTTAGTGTTATTGTGTCAGATTCCCTTCTTTTCTTTTTTATTTTTAGCTAGCCAGTGAGTAGCCTGAAAAAACAGAGCAGAAGGAAGAGAAAAGCTTGCATACGGAGAAGAAAATTGCAGAGCCAACGGAGAAGAAATTTTGGATAAGAGATGAAGAAGAAGAGAGAGGAAATCTAATGAAGAAGAAAAACAGAAGGTGCTGCGTGTGATGAAGAGAAAGAGAGGGTAGACCCATCATAAATATTGTCTGAGGGAATCAGTTAAGGGTTTTGTCCAAAACCTCCCAATTTGCTCGGGAATGAAGGAAGTCGGGAATGAAGGAAGTCCAACTTTTTAGAAATGATTTCAAAATTTGCATTCCAATAGACTTAACCCAAGCAACAAATAAGAGGTTCATTCCTTTCTGTGATTCCCAAACCCTTTAATCAAGCAACCCCTAACTGTTTGCTATTTTAAGTTTTAGGTTTTTTGTTATCTGTTTAAATTATAGACTATTTGTTTTCTTCATATTGTTTTCTTCTTTTTGTTATAGGCGTCTTTATTTTCTATTGGATTTTAAATGTTCGTTACAGGTTGAGCTATTAAAATTTGCAGTATGGTACAAAAGGATTGGGGAAATTTTTTTCTCAAGGTGAGTTTTATTTGGGTGTTTTTCCTAAACCAAAAGAAGAAAAAGGGAAATGGTTTGTTTAGTGCAGATCTGAGGTTTTGTCTTCCTATTTTTTTCCTTGTGTTAACAGATTTTTTTCCCAGCACTTTATTGTAAGTTTTTGCTGTCTTTATGCTATTATTGGTCTTTAGAAAGGTGTAGGATGGAGATTAATAATAATGACCTATTTTGTCACTTTGTATGTTGTCGAAAGAGGCAACCAAAATTTTAATGATGTTTGAATGCTGTTAGAATATTACATGAGTGTATTGTTTCGTCATATTGTATGCTGCCACAACATAGAACAGGGAAATGATAGCAATAAATTCGGACTTTGGTAATAAGCCTGATCTAGAAACAACATGTTTAATGTGCGATCGCTTATCATTCTATTTATTAATTTCTAATATTTTGTGAAGATTGCCTTTTCATTCAGTATGTGCTGCGGCTGCTTCTTTTTATTATACCAACTAGCTGGATAAAAATTTTGTTGGGATTCTTAGGATGTGTTTCTATATTTTCGCCCCTTGTTAATTTGTTTTGATTTAGCTTACCTTTCTTAAGATCCATTGTTTTGTGCCTTCTGGTATTGTCAATGTAAATCAATGCTTGAGAAAAACAAGAATTTGTGACTTCGTGTTATATAGATTTATAGACGGTAGTTTTTTTTTCTTTGCCTCTGCAGCATGAAGCCAATGGTTTAAACCATATGGAATCAATTTGAGGAAGCTCACGATAATCCTATTGCAACTGAGCATGATCCCTTCACAATTATCATAGCCATTAGAGTCAAAGTGACAACAACCAACTGTAACCTTCTGCACATTTTTTTTCCCTGCGTACTTAAACATTTTAAATTGAACATGTTAGTATCAAACATAATTTTTCCCTCATTCGTTTTAGATCTTAGCCTCTCAACTTAGTCATTATCAGTGATTCTTATAATTCCATGTTTTCGAGAAGTTGTGAATCTACGTGATTGTTATAATTTTTAAATTGTCCTATGCACTGATCTCATGATCATTATTGGATTTTTTTTTTAAACTTCAAATCAGGTTTCAAAAGAGTGAAAACTATAGATATTACTACTGGAATATAGATGTTTGCTATCCAGAGAAGTAATGATGCTACTAAGAGTTTTTTTTTCCTTTTTTTTTTTTATAATACTGCATGTCATAAGCATCTACTATGTCCTATGAAGGAATTATGTCATTGCATGTGTTAGAGTTTGCTGGGTTTTCACAAGTAGAAGAATCAAAATGTTACATAAATTCAATTGTAGTACTTGTTACTTGCATAGAATGGTAATTTTTGCCATATTATAAAAAACACTATTCTGAGAGTGTATGACATTTTTAGAAAGTTGGAAGGAGAGAACTGCAATTGGAGTTTTGGTGTTTCAATTCGATTTAAATATGAATTGCAAACTCCTCTCACTACTAAAATCTATCTATTGTCTATGTGCAGCTTCTCTCTGAGACCAATAGTCCATCGCAAAAAAGTGAAAAGCTTTACCTTCTAGCTGTTGGTTGTTATAGAAGTGGTGAGCATTCAAGAAGCCTGCGGCTTGTATAGAAATGTTTGGAGGTTAGTTCTCTGCTCCCATTAGTGAAATTGCTCATAGTTTAACATGCTTTACCAATATTAATTGTCAAAAGAAAGAAATTGTAGAACATTTTGGTTGTATTCAAGAGTGGTGCTTTTATCTCATTGGTTTTGTCTTTGTTTGTTAGATTAAACCTGATTGGAGGTAGGCTTTGTACCTTGAGAAGACAGTAAAAGAACAAATTACAAAAGATGATAACATATTACTTTGAATCCTCGGGATTTTTTTTTTCGAGTATGGCAATACATGAAATAAAAGTTTAACTTTATGGTGCAGATGGCGTCGTTGGAATTGGCATTTCAGTTACTGCTATGGTACTTATAGCTGGTGGAATTATAACTGCATTAGCTAGCAGAAAATCATGACGATGGATTGTTATTTTAAGAGTAATTTCCCTGATTTGCAGTTCCCAATCTTCGAAGATGATGTATTTTAACCCTACAAACTATGAACTGATGTCCTTTCTGTTACTTTTAGTTGAAGTTAAGACTTTGTAAATATATATTTTAATGGATTTCATATGGTACCTCTGGATCGAAGCATATTATCTCAACTAAGATGCCCGGGCACTCTGGGCAAGCTGAAAAGTACGCGCGGTATTCACCGCCTAGTTACTTATCTGTGCATGAATAGTGTTGGGATCACCATCCATCCTCCTACTCTAAATGGCCTACAATGTCTAACTATTAGTGGTAATTGAACACTCTTGACTTTCTCTCTTTAAAAATCATGAATTGCTCATAACTAAGTTGAGCATCGGTGTAGACTTGGAAGATAATGCTTTGGCTCTTTGACCTGTTGCTTGGTGTTCTAAGGCCATCCTACCTATCTGCTTCTGCTTCCAATTCGGATAGTCATAGGACTTGTTACTTTAACAAGCAAGGTGGTGTAGAGTATTACTACATGAAAAAGATTACAAAGTTTTAGGGTGTCACTTCTAAATCCAAAAAGCCTTTTATGATAGAACAGAAGATCATTCAAACTATTATAAAGGAGCCTAATAACTAATGTGAGACTCGAAGTAACCACCTCGATATAGGAAAGGTAGCCGAGAAAACTATACTACTAGCTCGGGAAGTTCAGTCCATTGCTTAGTCTGACATGATGTGATTGATGTGACCTGTGCTACCTAACATCATCAAAGTAGGTCTTTCTGATAGCCTTATAGCCAACTTATATATCTGGTCTAACTTGTCAGGATGGCTCTAATATCGAGACACCATAATTTTTTCACTATAAATACATTCAAGCCTCATACATAATAGGTAACGAATCTAACCTCAACTACTTTACTTGAGATCATACACTCTTATGCTCTTTTAGCTTAGGTACTGGACTTACAATAGGGGAAAGCCCTACTTTGTGTCTTCCTACTATTTGATATTGTTATGTTGTAGAATCATATTTTCCCTAGAATATCTTCACAATCTTGAATTTTTTATGACTTCCTTGGGAGAATCATTCCTTGTTAGCACAATTAGTGTCGTCTGTGAAAATCGATAAGTTTAAGTGCCTCTTGCTTCGATGACCAAAACCCGATTATATTGAGGTAATCAGCTCTCCCAAGTCCTTAAAGGCCAAGCAATGAACCTCTAAGAAGGTCATCAAGTTATCCTTGAGAAGCCTCAGTGCCTCAGTGTAGATGCTATTGCTTAGGTGGCCGAATTTGTGACCTGGAACCCTAGTCTTTTTGAAGAGATCGCAAGATATATGAAGGGGAAGAAAAGGCCAAGCCCTTTTGACAAAAGCCTATGGCTTCTCTAACATAGTCCTCTTCTAAAGGTAAGTCGAATGATAGTTACCCAAAGAAGAAGAGGGATAACCCATCAAATAAAAGGAAAAAATGTGCTCAAAATTAGCGTCGGTTTCAATGGTCCTTACGAGAAACCCATTCAAAAAAAAGGAAGCTAGTGAAGCCTCTAGGTGGGAATTTTTCCTCTATGGGGATTATATGAGGGCTTCCCCTTTTACCCCTGATATCAATGAGGAGCTGAATTTCAAACTACCGAGTTCCCCCACTATGATGATAAAGGGATCCTAAGAATAATATCCATGCTTTTCTCTCAGCATTTCAGCTATATGGAGTTTTCGTTTTTATAATGTACCAAGCTTTCCTATATTTCTGCAAGGAAACACTTGAAAATGGTTCTAGAAGTTGGAACCAGAAAATATCTCTTCTCTTGAAAAATTTGTGAATAAGTTCTTCTGTCAATTCGTCTCTTTTTGATCGATCACTAAGACCTTGACATATTCTATGAAAATCAAGTAGTAGCCCAATGAATCGCTTAGATTTTGCCTAGCTCATTTTTTCAAAGAAAGCATCCAAAATTTTGACCCAGATGAGTAGGTCACCATGGTAGCTTTCATTCATGGGCTCAGGTCTGGAACTTTTAACATGAAATTCCATTAGAACTAATTCTTGTCATTGGACAAGTTTTAAAAGTGAATAGATAAGTTTATCCAAGCCGAAAACTCCAATAGGCTCAAAAGAGAGGTTCATACCTACCAAGTTACAACGGATAGAAGAATCAGGGTACGCCAGGGAAGAAGTGGGGCAGGCACCTCAATCGGGCCTGGGCAGTGCAACTGAAGCATTTTTTTACCAAATTTCTAGAGCCAAACCTCCCAATTTAGCAAGGACTTGACTCCCCTTAATACTATCCACTCTCACATCTTGGACATAACAGAGCAATAGAATTTAGGATGTCCTATGCCGAGGATAATAAGAAAAGAGAGAAGAGAAACCCCAAACTTAACTGTGCATACCATCACGATATTAGCCACAAGACTGAAAATTGTAACAATCTTAAAAAAGTCTGAAAATTGTAACAATCTTAAAAGAAGATCGAGAATTTGCTAAAGCAAGGATATCTCTGATAGTTTGTTAAGAATGACAGGAGTGGAGATTCTAGTGAAGATCGTCAAGAAGATCGTTAGGTTGAGCATTGAAAAAGTCATTGAGATGACTGATGAGATTGGCAAAGTTATGATAGGCCTTAACGAGATGGGAGAAATAATATGTCACTCTGAAACCGATTCCTTTACCTTGGCTTACCATTTGGCTCAATGATAAAGACCATATGTGGGGGACTTGAAGGAGGCAATAGATAGACCTCTTAGAAGAGGACTTACCGATAAGTTGCTAAGGTTTGACTAAACTACCATCTAATCCCTGTGGTTTGGTAATATTACAAGCACCTCCTTTCTCACTCATGGCATCAAAGCCCTAAAAACAGAAGTAGTATAATGATAGATTTACGTCTCTTTGGGAAAACTTATAGTTATAGAAAACTTACAGTTAAAAATAAAAAATTTCCTTATACTATATAAAAATGAGTTATGGTTAAAGGGGATTTGAATTTCAACCACATGGATAGGATTTTTGGGAATGTGGACTATTGTGTAGTTTTTTAAAAACTTTTGGTACAACTGAGAGCAGCATGTGTTTAGGTATATTTATCGAAATGGCCTCATTTTTTATACATTTAAAGTTTTGATTTATGAAAACATCTAGGTATTTCTAAAATATGAAATTATTTTATAACCATTTTTGCATCAAGCACAACTTATATAAATTTATGTGTTGATGTAATTGTTGAAATGGTGTTATAGACACATTTAAGTGAAGTGTAGCTTTCATTGTGCAATTAACACAAAGACATATTAACAACTAGCCATTGGAGGGTATTCTTTGGTTTGAAACAACTTGTGTCTCCTCTTGGGCGATTTTCAACTGACATCTGTAGGGGCCGTATGAAAATGGTAAAAATATAAAAGCATTGATAAAATAAAGTATACAAGTGTGTGCTGCAATTAGAATGTATTATTATTAGTTTTGTTATATTTGATGACTATTCTTTCCAGAATATAATATTATTTGTCCAATGAACCAAATATCCCCTCGATGCACGGGCACTCGCCCCTAGTTTTTTTAATATAATAAGGCATAAAGCAAAGAGTTTGTTATAGTAAACAAATATTAGTTTTCTCCTAGAAAAGAACTATGAGAAAAAAACAAACAAGTAATATAGATTTGATAAAATATGAGCAGAAAGGGACAATGAAAAAAATTGAAGAAAGGAGGAATGCCAAAAAATGAAAAACGAAGAATGGAAGAAATCAAAAGGAAAAGCGGAAACTAATAATCAAGCGAGGAAGGAAAAATA